AAATTAGTCATCGATTATTTTAATAATCGATTTGTCGTCGATTAATCGATTAATCGTTGCAGCCCTAGTTCGAACGCAGAACAATAAAGACAAAGGAAGTATTTTGTGGTGCAAAAATAATAAGTACTTACTAGAATTGTTGCCCACGTTTGAAACAGACATATTCTTAGCCATCTGTTTTGGCGACTGTAGACTGAAGGACATTTTGGTGGAGTTGTTGTCAGCCTTTGTTCCACACAGCAACATGTTGATGCTTCCCATCACGTCGTCTTGGAAATCCAAGGAATTAGCTGCCTTGAAGACCATGGAGTTTTGCAGCCGGACCACCTAAGTTTCAGTAAGTTTAAAGAAAATGTTAAAACTGTTTCGTATTTATGTCTAACTATTTTAGGATATAAACAATCAGCTGTATTTTTGAGCTTTTATAGATTAATAATTTCATAGATAAATACTTTATTAATCCCAAGGAAAACACTCACTGGCAGCTACAGATGCATAACCCATTACTCTACAAACCCTTAACCCCCATCTTACATAAAGACGCTACCACCACCATACTGCTTGGATTTAAAAGTCTCAACATGACTCCTCTAAAAGTACTTCTTGTCATTGTGACACCAAAAAACCAACAAATAAATTATGAAAAGCTCAACCCTAATGATCTGCTTTATATTAAGATTCCTCATAAGTGATGCTTTCACCAACCTCCTCAATTACTGGTAATGCACTGGTCGTGGCTGTCCTCATTAGGGCCATTGTGTCTGTTGCATTCAGGCCCAGAGCTGAAGGGAACTAAAGGGAGAGATTAAAAAAAAGTTAATTTAGACACAAAATACTTACAATAAAATGATTAAATACATTTTCTGAAAACATTTCTAAAATAATCTACTTTACAAACATATTTTAGCCAAACTATAAAAATGAAAATACAGTCATTTTTTTAAAACAGGGGTAAAAGTAATGTGAGCAGTGTGTGTAACACATATTGGTGTACTGACTTCAGCAATCATCAAGAGTTTTTATGAGTTTTTGCAACTCTGCAGGAAAGACCGAAAATGTTCTTTTAAGCTTCTTGTCGACATTTGGGGAGCTGTCCAACATCTTCTCGTTGAAACTCGAGGATATTTGCTTTCACCATCAAAGAGCAGAAGATCATTTGAAATTTTAACTAATGTTCAAATGTCTAATTTTTTAACCAAAATTGTGTCAGAAAATCCAAACAAAGTTGTTAAAACAATATCTAAATCAATCTCAGTGCCTCAGTCACAGACGCTGACTTCCCCCACTTGTCTTTTTTTTCTTTATGCTGTTGTTGTTATCACAACCCCTCAGCAATGTCAAGCCTTAAGTGTGGAGTCTTGATGTTCTTTTCCATCTGTCTGCTTGAGGCGCTGAAGAGCTTTTCCTCCATATCTTGTCTGGACTTTCCTCGCTTTTCTCCCTGCGTCTGAAAACGCCTGTGGGCTTAAATTGTTCAAAAGCTCTCTCTCTCTCTCTCTCTCTCTCTCTCTCTCTCTCTCTCTCTCTCTC